TCTCTCTCTCTCTCTCTCTCTCTCTCTCTCTCTCTCTCTGGGAATGGGGACTTGGTGGCTGCGGTGGTGATGGTTCCCAGAGTGAGGACGCTTGGCTGCGGTAGGCCGGGAGTGGGGACTCGGGAACTCAGCGGGTCATCTGCGGTGGTGACAGTGCCAGAAGTGTGGACTGTTGGCAAGGTGGTCATTGCTGTACCCACAGTCGTGACTCCTTGAGGCCCAGAACACCTTGCAAAAGCCCTGGAGCTGTATTTGAAGACCCCTTGAACAGAAGTTGAACTATTTCTGTAATTTCTTTTTATTCTTTTTGTAATTCAAAATTGCACTGTATTGTGGCAACAAAGCACTTTTCACTGTATCTTTCCATATATTTGTGATAATTAATAACTCACTCAATAACTCACTCGTCATCTAACTGGAGGCTCTTGTCTTAAATAAGATATAGTTAATGCAAGATAGCAATTATATACAAGTTATTTTAGCACATAGCACACAGAGTACATAGAGTCCCTACAGTGTGGAAACAGGCCATTCGGCACAACAAGTCCACACCGCCCCTCCAAAGAGCATCCCACCCAGACCCATTCCCCTGCCCCTGCATTTTCCATGTCTAACCCACTTATAATCTTAACATCCCTAGACACTATGGGGCAATTTAGCATGGTCAGTCCACCTGACCTGCACGTCTTTAGAACGTGGGAGGAAACTGGAGCACCTGGAGGAATCCCACACAGACACGGGGAGAATGTACAAACTCCATACAGACAGTCACCCGAGGGTGGAATTGAATCCAGCTCCCCAGCGCTGTGAGGCAGCAGTGCTAACCTCTGAGCCACTACGTTTTAAGATGACGTTGTCACAGAGACCTTGAGGGAGGCCTGGAAGTTAAGTCACACTCCTCTGAAATCTTAGGTTGTTCTGCACCAAGTCTATATAATGTCATCATAGTGGATGTTGCTTAAGACATTCCTCAGTATTAACACTTTCAGATCCTCCAGTAGCTTATTTATCTGCTATGGCCTCAATAAGAAAATGCTGCAGTCTGGAGGTATTATAGCTAACTGAATACTGCAGATATCTGAAGTGTGGTACTGGCAAGACACCGAGTGCAAGTTAAATGCTTACTGCAGAAAGCAAGAGAGACAGCCGTTTTTTGAGCTCAGTTTAATGGGGTTAGCAGCATCAAGTTTATAACCAGTTTTCTATAGTACAAAGGTGCATTGCTTGAGGTAGTTTGGATAGGGAAAAATAGGGTTCCGAGCTATGATATCACTGTTGACATATCTCCATTGCTATGGGAATGATTGTTTTTGCTGTACTGTGTTACTCAAGCATGAAAACATTGCTCTATATTTACCATGATAAAGTTCATGGGGATATTAACATTCCAGTTTTAAAAAAACAAAGTGTTTAGTTCCAATTATTTAGCTGAGAGTAACAAGCACCCTACCTTGGGGAAACAGTGACTGAAAACACTGGGAAAGTCTGGGATTTGAGCTGTGATTTAATGCTTTAGGCAGGAATGATGTCAGAAATAACAAGAATTTGCACTTGTATTTCATATTTGGTTTTAATGTCACACATGATTTTGATTCCGTAGTTATAGATAAAGAACCACCCACTGATTCCACTGGAAAGAAGTCTGGTATGCTCTGATGAGAAGTTTTCTTCATTAACTGATGATCAGTTAGGGCTCACTTTTCACATGCAGTTTCATTCCATGTACAGTCTTAAATTTAAAAAAAAAACAGAAGAATAAGTATGCTTCAGAGATAGCAGGAACTGCAGATGCTGGAGAATCTGAGATAACAAAGTGTACAGCTGGATGAACACAGCAGGCCAAGCAGCATCAAAGGATCAGAAAATCTGAAGAAGGGTCTAGGCCCGAAACGTCAGCTTTCCTGCTCTTCTGATGCTGCTTGGCCTGCTGTGTTCATCCAGCTCTACACCTTGTTATCTCAGAATAAGTATGTTGTTGAGATTGCAGTTTTTGACACAGGGATTTCTTTCATTTAACCACTCCTTTATAACAGATTGGGGGTGAGAGGCCAGTTATACCACTTTTCACACTTCATTTAACAGATTACGAGGTGAGGCGAGCTTCTCGGTTTTAATTTTGGTTTTAATTATCATAGTGGTGTCGACCAGCCCTCTGTTACAGATGTTTAGGAAGTCTTTAAATACTGTTTAAACACTGGGATAACGTGTGGAGAACCAAGGCAAACCTTATAATTGATTCAACTCTGCATCCACATTTCTCCTGCATTCCGGCATGGATTTGTATATTGTTCTGCGCGCAGGGTGAAATGACAAAAATGGCATGTGATGTAACAAGTGGGTAGGGTGTGAGCTGTGAAAGTATGCAGATCAGGTTTTCCTGAGCCCTGAAGAAAACTGATGTGGGGAGAAAGAATAATTACACGAGTATCATCTTGGAGCCCTTGAAGAAAATCTAACAGTGATTCATGAGATCTGAGACATTGAAGGTTTGAACGAAAAGGCCCAGTGGACTAGTAACACGATTTGCTTTGAGAAGATGTCCCTGAACGTGGATTTGAAACTACACTTTTTATATAGTAGTCTTGAAGATACCTCAAACTGAATAGCTTTTGAAGGTTTCATTGTTTATGTGGGTTTATTTATTGTTGTCTTTGTCTTTTCTAGATAAATAAGCAGCAACTGCAGACAGTAAAAGACCGCTTTCAGGCTTTCCTGAATGGAGAAACACAGATTGTGGCAGATGAGGCCTTTATCAATGCTGTGCAAAGTTATTTTGAGGTAAGATCATTTTGCATGTAATATTTTACTTCTTTCAGTTCAGGTTTTATTCACTTATTTTAGAAAACAGTAAATTTATATTGCAGAATGCTGTGATTGGACATTTTTTTTTCCTGCAAATATAACTTTCCTCCCCCAGGTTTGAGTACGGTGGACAGGATTGCTCATTTATTGGTGTTGTCCTTTTGTCATTGCAATGTTTAGTATTGTGTTGTTTGCTGACAGGCTACCTAGAGGAGAATTTATATGTATTGATGGAATCGGCCTCAATCTTTTTTGAATTCAGAAGGGACAAAGATTTTAAACACAATATTTAAATAATTAATTACCGTGTGCGAATAAGTGCTTTCATTATGTATTTTTGGTTCAGCTAAGGAAAAGGATTTTTTTTTCCAAAATAGACTGAGCGTCTAACAGGGATAAATGCACAGCCAGTGAACCCCAAGGAAAAACTCATCCAAGTTCTCAACAATCCCAAATAACAACTTTTCCTCGGCTTCGCTCACTCATTATTCTAAACACTTCAATTCACAAGAATAAACTGAACGGAGAAGTGTGGATGCTGGAGATCAGAAACAAACATGAACAGGAAGTGGTGGAGAAATTCAGCAAGTCTGACAATGTCTGTAGAGGAGATAACACAGTTAATGTTTCAAATCCAGTGACCCTTCATCAGAACTGAAAGCAGCTGGGAAAGGGTGATATTTATGCAGAAGATGGGGTGGAAGGAATGGGGAATGAGACAGATAGATGGAGACAGTGCCCAGAGAGAGAGAAAAGGGAAGTAGACAAAGGGATTAACATTTCGGGTCCGGTGACCCTTCCTCAGAAGGGTCTTCGTTAATTTTGCTGGCGATGATCAATTAGGGCTCCCTTTACTTTTCATATGTCGTTTTGTTCCATATACAGTCTTCACAGATGTTGCCAGACCTGCTGAGCTTTACCAGCAACTTCCTAATTTACAGCATCTGTAGTTCTTTTAGTTTTTATCGAGACAAAGGGATTGTTGATTAGTAATCCAGGGAAGAAGAGATGATAATGGGGACTATGAACACTTGAAAATGAGTTGGCTGTGCTAGAGCAGCCTATGCGGGACATGACCTGGGGGCGGATAACAGAGGTGAATGGGAGGTGTTCATGCTCTGAGATTATTAAATTTAGTGTTGTCAGTGTAGAAGGCTGTAAGGTGCCTAGGTGGAAGATGAGGTGCAATTCCTTTAGTTTACATTGAGCTTTGCTGAAGCATTGCAGCAAATGTATCCTCATGAGTTGTTTGGCTCGTTGCTTTGATCTATCTCTCTGCTCTCAATGTTCCTTCCATCTCTTTCTCAGTCTCTTTCTCTCTCTTTCTACAATACTCAATTCCTGTAGTCTCTTTCTCAAGGATTCTTTCCCATCCAATGTATCATAACATTCTGGATCTGCATACTGTTTACCAGCCCCATGTTTAATGATTTTAATCTCTCTACCAATTTGTTCAACTTCTGTGAAGAGTTTACTTTCTTTGACATTTAGAAGTTAATTTTAGTTTAAAAGTTATTTCTTTTGAGAATATAATGTATTTTTTTTCTAACAAGAAATCTCCACAAGTACCCAACTCCAGAATATACATTAGTTTTTATAGAAAAATCAAATTTACTCGACTTTGCACTTTCTAGGGCCACTACTGTGACATAATGTGAGGAACAACTGGGTAATGTGGCATTAACAAGTCTGTGACATTACATTTACTGAATTCTGATTACCCATCTGCTTAAAATGTGCAGTTTTAAGGTACATACCTACATTGGCATTTTTATTGTCAGGAATTTCTCATTTAACCCTTGCTGTCAGTCTCTATTTTTTGTTCTCTCTGTTACATAATTCCTTTCACTGACATTTCTACAAGTCTGCTTGGTGCTTGGTAACAGAGAACATCATGAATAGAGAGACATGTTGCTGACACTTTTTCATCGCCCACTCTTCAGTACAAACATAACAATGCCAAATTTCAAACAAGCACAACGTGCACACTACAGGACAAAAGGATGCTGATTAGTCAAGGTGAGTTGATTTTGATTGGCTGATGTGTTGCCCTGGGGAAAGAAATGGGGGACTATAGGCTGTCCAAATTCCTAAGTAATTCAAAGAAAGTGCAAACCTTGAACATATTCCCTTTGTTTCCAGAGAACAGGTTCCTGTAAATGTAAGTATGTCACTTATCATGTGGCTCATTTACACTTGTTATGAGCGCAACTGATTAAGTTAAATTGGTTGTTCGTGTAGCTATTAGAACACTGAAGGATTGTTCAGCAGATGCTGCCCAATCGTGGAACACATACAATGGTATCTGTTTTGTTTTTGGTTTGGCTTCGTGGGTTGGCTGTACACACTACTTCGTATTCTGCTAATGATATCCAAAAGAACATTTTCTTTGCAATGAACCAATCACTAGGACTACGTACCCAACAGCACATTGGCACTGAAATATACAGGCAAAGTCTCTCAAAAAATGGAACTATAGATTAAGCCTGTTATATGCCATTACTGTGCAGTAGCTATGCAAGTGGGTATTGTAAATGGGTATTTCCCATTAACAGAATGCTACAATCAGTTCAAAAGTACAAGCTGCATGTCACATAATTGAACAGCAATGTTTATGAATTTCTGCAAGTTTAATTTTTACATGCTGGAAGCAATATTCAATCATACACAAGCAGCTACTGTATGCCAAACAGAAGGGATATATAAAAGCCTGGCACATTTTTGAATTACACAGAAACTTGCGAAGCCTATAGTTCCTTGTGACATTTTCCATGGCGACACATAGTACCATCAAAGTCAACTTGCCAACTAGTCAGTGCTCTTTTCTCGCATGTGTAAGTAGTTGTGATTTAAAATTTTATCATTCTTGCGATAGCCATGATAAGTGTAAGATAAGAAGTTTTGAAAACTTATTTCTTTTTGGAAAACTGGTTATCTCTTCTTTCTGAGTCTTTGCAAAATTACCTTTTATGCTTTATTGCACAAACTGTGTTTACTTACTTGTTACCCACTTCCACTCTATATGCTTCTTTATTTTTTTTTCTCATCCAATTCTCCCTTGCAGAGCTCTGGAATCTAAAGATTCAATCCAATGATAGTTGTAGAAATTACTTTTTTCTGATACTACGGACTAGTCATGGTTGTTTTGTTGAGCTTGCTTATATGCTTCTGCCTCAGGCCTCACATCTGTAATTCCACCGTCCAGAATTCTGAGTTTAAACCATTCTTTCTTCCAGTTAGGAGGGAATGAAAAGTAAGAACAGCACTAGGATTAGCAATTGAGGAGGCTGTGCTTACTTTTGTGGGGCAATGAAGGTGTAAAAGAGGTCAGCTTGGGTCTAAGATAGAAAAAAGCAAGAAGAGATGCTCTTTCATCTGACCGATTCCTTAGAGCACTGGTATGTTATAAGCTAGGTCTCATTATAATAGTTTTCTTTTGATATTTGTAATGGCTCTCAATCTATATTCATGGTAAAGACCTCACTTTACCTCCATTTCTGAGCCCTTTGGTTGCAAGGAAATGCAGCATTTGGATTTGGCTGTGATGAAATGTCATGCTAGAAATTGGTGACAGTGAAGTCCAGAGTTAATTCAAGACTGGGAATATGTTTCCTACATCACAACAATGACTGCACTGCATAGTATTTAATTGTATCTCAAGCAAACATACATCCATAACTAAAAGAAAACAGCATTGCATAAAGATGGGTGTTTTTGACCATGTAGCTTAAAACAGCAGATTTACCATCAAGGGGAATGTATACAGATTTGCCTGGTGTACACGCTTGACCATGGTCCTGAGGGAGAGGAGAGAATGTTCTGGGGAGACACTGCTGGTGCAGTTGCAAGAAATAGAAATTGATGTTTGGTCTGAGAAAGACAACACAAATGAATGATGCAATAAATAATAGGTCACAATGTCACTGCAGGGTTTGTTTCTAAATATTACAGTGTAATCACTCAAAATTTCTCGTAATTTCTATTGATAACTATAGATAATAATCAGAGATAATTTAGTTGCATTTAATCTTTGTTCATCAATGTTATGCCTTTTTCATGTGTTATGTTTGAATAATAGATTAGTTTTGCACAGAGAGAGAGAACATTCGGCCTGTTAATCACACTGCCATGCTCTTTCCCTATATGCCTGCATTTCGTGTCCATCAAATATTTATCCTATTAATTTTTGAAGGTTACTGTTGATCTGTATCAACACCCTATCAGACAGAACACTTCAAACTCTAGCCAGTCATTGTATATGGATTATTTCTTATGCTATGTCTGGTTCTTTTGCCAGCTATTTTATATCTGTGTCTTCTGGATAGGTGTTATGTGAGAAAATTTAACTTTCTGTTTACTTTACCTAAACCCTCAGTTTTTAAAGCCCTCTATTAAATCTCCTTCTAGTCCTCTCTGTTCATAGGAGAACAATCCCAACTTTTCCAGGTCATCCATGTAATTATAATGTCTCCTTTTTTGAACAATTTCAGTAATCTCTTCTATATCCTCTCCAGAGTCTTTACATCATTCCTGTGGTGTGGGGTGATATGCCCAGAAATTATATTTTTCAACTTCTTCTTCTGTTATTCAAAGATCAGTCATCACTTTGTTGTGAAATTTTGAGAATTTAGTTTGAAGCATTATTTTTGTAGAATTTATTTTGGTACTGTCTGAAATGATTTAGGATCGTAACTTTTGTTTCAATTGCTTCACACATTCTAGGTGTTTCTGAAGAGTGACCGTGTGTCCAGAATGGTGCAAAGTGGTGGATGCTCTGCCAATGATTCTCGAGAAGTATTTAAGAAACATATTGAAAAGCGAGTTCGAAGTTTGCCAGAAATTGATGGCCTCAGCAAGGAGACAGTCCTGAGTTCCTGGATGGCAAAGTTTGACGCGATATACCGTGGTGAAGAGGATCCACGCAAGCAACAGGCCAAAATGACAGCTAGTGCAGCTTCGGAGCTGATCCTCAGCAAGGAGCAGCTGTATGAAATGTTCCAGCAAATCCTCGGGATCAAAAAATTTGAGCACCAACTACTGTATAATGCTTGTCAGGTGAAGGCATTTTTTTCTCATGTTTTCTGTTACGGCCTATGCTTTTTAACTCAATGCACTCTAGGAAAGCAGCTTGCTGTCATTAATCACTAATAATCAGTGATTTGGAGGTGCTTTCCATTTGCAGAGGCAATGGGCTGTAGAGATAATGATCAAGAGATCGCATCTGATTACAAACTGGTGACAAAGGAAGCAAAAGCATTTTGATGTCTAAGAGGGCTGCCAACTGTTATTTTTAGAGGATGTTGCAAGGTTGTTCGTGTCCTCAGGATAGGTAAAAAATATTTCCAAGGCCCCTTGTACCTGCTGTATTGTCTGACATATTACTCCTTGCTTTATTTGGTAGCTAAAGCAAAAATTTTCAGTAACTGAAAATTATCATTTCACTTGTTGAAATATAAACCTAAATTTGTGCTGATGGATGAATATTTCAGAAATTGATGAGGCTGTGTTAGGTGGAAGCGCAAAGGAATGATAATGAATTGGCAACTTTTTTTTGTAGTTTGTGGTGGTTAGTTTTAGAATTGCTAAAGAAGAATCTACCTGAGAGTCTGGAACTTGAGGAATAAGATGGTTATGGAATGCATGTGTTCTATCCTGTCTGGAATAGAGGCTGACAGTTGTTTGTTTGCTCAGGAAACTGGAACACACAGACACATTGATCAAACCTTTTCTAGTCTACATATGCATACCCTTTTCTTTTACAGATTAATAGTCATCTAAATATCTGTCAAACACCAGCACAAATCCTTGTCAAAATACAGTGTTTTTCTTACTGACAGTTGTTCTGTTTAGACTGCCTCCACAGTGCACTGTTCCAGATTTAACTTAGTTTTGATAATTGAGAATTGCTTTAAGTCTGGAAACTTCAGTTGTAAAAAATCCATGTTTATTACCTGTTAATTGAAAGAAATTTCCTATAAACTGGGAAGAAAAACTGCATTGTCTAGAAGCCTGAAATGGAACAGAAAAATTGGGAATATAAAGCAGATCAGGCAGTATCTCTAACAAGGAACCACAGATTAATGTCTCGCTTTGTACCCTTGTCAAGTCCGATTAAAGGACACTGCAAAATTATGACCTGTTGTTTTCTTTGTGCTGACTAACCTGCTGTATATCTCCAGCATTTCTTGTTTTTATTTGAAATTTCCTGTCAACCATTCTCAATATTATAAGTTACGACCAGTTTCAGTCTCAATAAGTATTTGAGTCCAAAGATTTATGCCCATGGTGAAACAACGACTTGTGGATTGCATGTTAACTTTTCCAGAGCATTTTTTTTCTTTTGGCATACGTTGATGGATTGATGTGATTTAATGGCCACTATTTAAAGGAGACAATAAGGAAAATAACTATCACTTTTAACTTTCTATAATATTCTGACAGAAATTTGATCCCATGTATGAGATTTAGAGAAAATACACAACAGAATGGAAACCACTTATGTTATTTGGCAACTTTCAGGATCCCAAGATGTTCCTAGGCATTTCACAGTCAATAATTTTGAAGGGGCTTCACTATGGTAAAGTAGGAAATGTGACCGCTAGCTTAAGCACAGTGAGATAATTCCAGTTTAAGTGATGTTAGTTGAGGAATATATATCAAGCTGGATCCAGCTGCTATTCTTTTGAATAGTGCTTTGGGATCATGATTTAGCATTTCATCCAAAAGAAAGATACAGTCAAAAGGTTCGTAATTTCAATTCACGGGTCTGTCATTGCAGTTGAGTAGATATTGAGGCATTGAAGTTTGCAGATGCAGATATGAACAACTCCTTATCTACTTCTTATTCACTTGCAAGTTTTGACTAGATGGATACTAAGATCCTAAAATGGCATTGTAGGTAATCAAGTAGCACGGTGGCTCAATGGTTAGCACTGCTGCCTCACAGCACCAGGGACCTGGGTTCGATTCCACCCTCAGGCGACTGTCTGTGTGGAGTTTGCACATTCTCCCCGTGTCTGAGTGGATTTCCTCTGGGTGCTTCGGTTTCCTCCCACAATCCAAAGATGTGCAAGCTAGGTGGATTGGCCGTGCTAAATTGTCCACAGTGTTCAGGGATGTCTGGGTGGGATGCTCTGAGCGTCGATGCGGACTTGTTGGGCCAAAGGGCCTGTTTCCACACCGTAGGGATTCTATAGAAAATAAATGTACATGTACTTAGAACAAATGGATTAATGCTGTACTGGAATAAAACACCAAGTGTTCATAACATACAAGCATATAGGATAATTTCCAGTTCTCATGGTTTTAGGCAAGCTGGTTACGGTGTAATGTTAACCCAGATCAAGCCTGAGGAAACAACATGATAGGAGTTTAAAAGAAACCAGAAACAAAAACTGAGCGTTTACCTGTATGCTTGCAGAATCCACACCTACCTTTGTCTTGCCATGCCAATTCATATCAATTAGCACATTGGCATTTCATCCAAAAGGCCATCAGTATTGCCATTTTGAAGTGCTCTTGTGTGCAGACACATAACCAATAGTTTGTCAGTTTGGCCTGTCTGCTGGTGGGGATGGAACTTTTGCTGTATGGCACATCAAGACATCAGTCTAATACCTAAACTGTCCTGGTCAGCAAAAAGAGCATCTCAGCAAATCATGTGGACAGGAACCACCGAACAGCTTTTCCAGTTTTTCCCTCTGCCCAGAATATCGATGTGTTTTTTGGATCTGGCTATGTCTGTCTGTCTGTGGGGAGAGTAGCATTTATATAAGGGGGTTAGGGTTTTAACCAGCCAAGTTACATGTTGATGGTTTAGAATTGTTTACCGTTACTAGAATCTATTTATTTGGAATAAATAGACATTTTTGTTAAGGAAGACTGGAGGGTGTCTAATGTTGTGCCTTAATTTAAGAAAAGCTGCAAGGAGAAGCCTGGGAACTATAGGCCAGCGAGTCTGATGTCATTGGTGGGTAAGTTGTTGGAGAGGATTCTGAGAGTCTGGATTTATATGCATTTGGAGAGGCGAATATTGATTAGGGATAGTCAGCATGGCTTTATGCATGGGAAATTGTGTCTCATCAACTTGATTAAATTTTTTGAGGATGTAACCAAGGAAATAGATGAGGGCAGAGTGGTAGATGGTGTCCATATGGACTTCAGCAAGGCCTTTGACAAAATTCACATGGTAGATTGGTCAGTAATGTTAGATCACACGGGCTGCAGGGAGAGCTTGATAATTGGATGCAAAATTAGCTTGATGATGGAAGAGGGTGGTGGTGGAGGGTTGTATTTTGGACTGGAGGCCTGTGACCGGCAGTGTTCTGCAGGGATCAGTGCTGGGTCCACTGTTGTTTGTTATTTATATAAACAATTTGGATGAGAATATGGGAAGCAAGTTTGCAGACAACGCTAAAATTGATGGTATAGTAGATATTGAAGAAGCTTATCTAAGAGTACAATGGGATCTTGATCGAGGTTGTTGACTTGCTCGCCGAGCTGTCTTGTTTTTGTTCAGACACTTCATCACCATGCCAGGTAACATCATCAGTGAGGCCTCCGATGAAGCGATGTTGTTCTACTCTGCTTGGAATTTATATTGTCCGGTCTGTTATGGTGAGTTGTAATTTCCAGTTTTGTTCTGTATGGGTTTGTATATGGGGTCCAATTCTATATGTTTGTTGATTGCATTATGGGTTGAGAACCATGTCTTTAGGAATTCCTGTGCGTGACTATGTTTGGCTTGGGCTACAATGGTTACGTTGTCCCAGTTAAACTGATGGCCTTCATTGTCCGAGTGTACCGATATTAGGGAAAGTTCATTGTGTCGTTTTGCTGCTAGCTGATGTTTGTATATTCTGATGACTAGTTTCCTTCCTGTCTGTCCGATGTAATGTTTGTGGCAGTCCTTGCAAGGTACTTTGTAAACTACATTGGTTCTGCATGTCGTGGGTATGGTGTCTAACCATTGTGAGTGTTTGTCATAGTGTGGCTGTGGGCTTGTGTGCTACCATGATTCTTAGTGATTGTAGGAGTCTCATTGTCAGTTCTGATATGTTCTTGATGTAAGGCAGTGTGGCCAGTGTGTTAGGGCGTACTGTGTCCTGTTGGTGTTGTCTGTTTAGTAGGCACCTGCGGATGGAGTTGAGGGGATATCCGTTCATAGCGAAGATTTTGTATGGGCACTCTTCCTCTTTCTTGCATAGTTCTGGCGTGTTGCAGTGAGTGGTGGCCCACTTAAATAGTGTCCCAACACAGCTTTGTTTGTGGACGTTAGGGTGCTTACTGTGGAAGTTGAGGATTTGGTCAGTGTGGGTTGCTTTCCTGTATACTGAGGTTTGGAACTCTCCGTTGGTCATACGTTCACCTCTGACATCCAGAAACAGAAGATGATTATTGTTTTGTTCTTCTCTCATGAATTTAATCCCGGCCAATACGTTGTTGATGAGGTGGTGGGTCTCTTCTAGTTTGGTGCGTTTTTTGATGATGAATGTGTTGTCCACATATTGGATCCACAGTTTAGGTTCAACGAGGGGGAGGGTAGTGTGTTCTAGTCTTTGCATGTCTGCTTCTGTGATGAATCCTGAGCTGGGTGACCCCATTGGTGTACCGTTGATCTGTTTATATATGAAAATATATTTGACCATGAAAGACAAAGTGTGTAGTAGTTTTGAGTATGTTATCATTGCTGATGGAGCTGCTGGTCTGTGTTCCTACTTCATCTAGTAATGTGGCGTCAGTTGACATGAATAATGCTGTGACGTCAAAGGATACCATAATCTCATTATCGCTGATTTTTATGTTCTTGAGAGTATTGAGGAATTCTTGGGTTGAGTGGATAGAATGGGGTGATCTGTCGACTAGGTGTTTCAGCCTCTGTTGTGGGTCCTTGGCCAGTTGGTGTGAAGGTGTGCCCGGCAGAGAGACAATGGGTCTGAGGGGGATGTCTGGTTTGTGTATTTTAGGAAGTCTGTAGAAGCGGGGCGTGTTCGTGCCTTCTGGTTTCATTTTTTGCAAAAACCTTAAAGGAATCTTGATCAATTGGGCCAGTGGAC